CAAATTTTGCGTGTCAATATGTTTTGTTGCCTCGGAGGTGATAGAAGTCTTATGGGCATCGTCAGACTTCATGCAGTAGTCGACCCACAAGCAAAAGGAGGGTTTCTGTGCAGGGTAACAAGGCGACAGTCCCAACCAGATGTGACTCAGTAACTGTCCTTCCTTTGGATTCTTTACATAGTCCAGGCTTTCCTTAGTTTCCCTGTTCAAAACCTCCAAAAGTGGCAGTTTCAATGGACGCCACCAGCCAAGAAATCAAGTGACCTCTGTAGTTTTCGGGTAGACTCGCTTCATATGGCCATGGGTCAAAACCCAAATCGTACCCCCAGTGAACATCCCAATCCCCACTGAAATAGGTTCTAAAATTGGTGATGAATTCACCTACCAACCAAAATGGGATCCCAAAACGGTTTTGGCAACCACAGCCATATCAAATTGTTATTACCACTCGGAGAGTGCCTCAAGGCTTGGTGTTGGGTCTGTCTCGCCTTGCGAGGAGGCGAGGCGACGAGGTGTGCAAGACCAACAGCAGGCGCCGGATATGTTGGGACCATTTGTCATGAATGTTCCTTTCGTAGGGAACCCTTATTTTCCCTGGTGGCAGCCATCCCCTCAGCTTTTTAGCCTTTTAGTGTTTAGTGGTGGTTTCCATTTAAACTTTTAAAAGTTAAACTTTTAGCAGGGATCTGAGAGCAGCCCAGTGTCTTGGTTGGTGAATTGTATGGATCAGTCGGAAAGTAGTATCATTATCAGCAACGTAGGATGGTGTCGACAGCCCTCGCTAAGCAGTGCTGGTGCCCACGAGGCTTCAATCTGGCTGGTAAGCAGCAGTTTCCGTGAATTCGGACACCATTAGTATAGTATTCTCGGTGTTGTTGTCCAAAATGTCACAACCCCTTCTTGTGTTGCTGTGTGAAGAAAGCCAAAAGGAGCCACCTATGCTTAGGGCTCCTGGACCCTCACACTACCCTTGCAGATGGTACATCACTCCAACGTGTCAACATGTCATGTTTGGGGTAGTCTTCCGTGTTTAAGGGTAGTTGGAAGTTGCAGGTTTCCCTTGTTTAGAAACACCCTGGTGTTGCAGAAGCGATCCAAGTTGCTTTGAAGCATTCCACCACGAGCCCTTGGAAAAGCGGGGAAGCCCTGTGTGTTGCAACCCTTAGCTGGCCGAATATTTCGGCCTTTCAGTTGGCATGTTTTGTTTGAGTAATCCCCAGTTGAAAGGCGGTTTTGCCAGGAAACCACGGGACAGCATTTGCGATCAGGCAAACCCATTTCAGCCAAACCCGAAGGGAGACCAAAAGGCGGTGATATCCTAGGTCCCCCAGTAGTGCCCTTTTTGCCCTTTTTTGGGGGAGGGCTCCCCTACTAAAATAGACTACAGAAAAAAGGGTACCCTTATTCTATCCTCTCTACTGGAGGACCTAGTATCAATGAGCATGCTTCGAGTGGCTCTGTTTCTGACAGATTGCTCAACAGGGGATTCCAGCTAGGATCTCTCTTGAATATATATATATATATGTATCATTTGCACTTTGAGGTTCGCCAAGTATGGACCAGAGTCACTGCTAGGTTGTTCAACTGCAATCAGAGTCGGCCAGGGATAGCAAAGGCACTGCAGGGAGCAGGCGGGTGGGATGGGCGTGATTCTCACCCGAATGGTTGCTAGGAGGACACCTTTTGGTTTTTGCTATCCCCTAAAGTGGCTTTTGGGCAAGGCTCAATTCGTGGTTTCATTGTCCCGTGCAGTCTAGAGGGGACCCCCATCTCATGAATGAGTTTGACATTTTCCGATGGCTTTCAAATGATGTTTCGCTTTGAAGATCCAAATAAGAGGTCCACATGTTGACATGCCCACTGTGGCGATTCCCACCTCAGCTTTGTTTTGAACACCTGCTCCTTGCCGGCTTCCCAGAATAGGAGCCAACAACACAATTGTGGTGCTCATGTACTTTCAGCGTGTGCCACAGACACCGCGAGAAGTTGAGTCTTCGGCAGGTCTCTAACGCCATCGAAAAGCCTTTCGGTCCATCGATGTTTTGCCGGACATGCTCAGATTCTAAGGTGTCGACTACCCCCATATTGCCAGTAATCCATTATATAGGCCTTGAACATTTGTTGGGTCTGAGAACACCGGCGGGCTGGACCGTGTCAAATTTTCTGCATCGCGTTGGTTCTTTGGGCGTGCCCTTCACGGGCCTGGGAAATGACCAGTTTGGTTCAAGCCAGCGACTCGCAGAATGTTCTAGGTCCCCCAGTAGTGCCCTGTCTCATCCTTTTTTGGGGAGGGTTCCCCTAGTAAAATAGACTACCGGGAGAAGAAGATCGGGTACCCTTATTCTAACCTCTCTACTCGAAGACCGTGTGTTGGTTGGCAGCCGGCTCGGCTGGCTGAAGCTAAGCCTCTCGTGAAACCTGTCGAGAACCAGAGATCCCATGCCATAGCCCTGGAAGCAGAGTTCAGAGTCTGTCATGATCTCGCCTAGATTGAATCGCACTTCCTGAGTTGGACTTTAGGCATTTTGCGCTTGCTATACAAATATAAGTTCAACCCCTTGCACCCCTCAGCTTGTTTGACTGCTCAACATGGGGCATTTGCACCCCATCCCAGTTCTCACCCGCAAGTCATAGAGTTTGCGAAAAGGAGCCCCGTTGGTTTAAAGGAAGCCAATCAGAGACCAACCCTCTAGAAGGGGGCCCCTTTTGTTTCAGCCTTGGTACTGCGGAAGCCGCAGGGATCCCAAAAAAAACACAAAAAACGACCGCTCCCTTCCTTCCTGCGCCCATCCAAACCACTCGCCTTCGCCAAAGGCGGCGCCCTCGACCAAAAACTCCGAGGCTCTCGCAGGTGTCGAAGCCCTCGCGGGTCTCGGAGCTCCTGAAGTCCCCGTCCCAAGCGGCGCTCGACGCCCTGGAAGAGTCCAGGCGGAAGAAATCCGCACGCCGAAAGCGGTGGGACGGTGGGACGGGTGACCCCGAGTCGAGTGGCTCAAAATGTCAAGAGCTGGGGCCAACCGCGGGTTTGAGTCGTTGGTTCCATTTACCAAGCTGCCATTCTGGTACCACTTTTTGAGCAGCCGAGTGGAAGAAATCGGTTCAGAGGGAACAGGTATGCCTGAAGGAGGGATGTTTTGTTCTGGGCGCAATGGGGTCCCAAGGACCTTTCCCCCTCCAAATAGAGGGTCTAATGATGTGGGACAAAAACATCTGAGTTTGTTACGGGGAAAGGCGCGTGGAACATTTAATTTGGGCCAATTTTCTTGGATGGATGCCCCTGTCAGACAGTGGGGCAACCACTCATGGGTTTCTGTCACGTGGCAAAGGCGTGTGGAAAACTTGGTCCACATTTTCTCCGATGGATGGTTTTGTCAGAAAGTGAGGCAACCACTTTTGGTATCACAGAAAGGGTGAGGTTCAGCAGTTCAGCCAATGGGATGGGAGGTCTTCACTATTTGGCAAATGGAGCCCTCCTGCCTGAAGGTACCTTTCTGGAGGTATTTCGCTCGGGTGTCCTTTCCCTTTATGGATGGACGAAATCCATTTCGCACCACCTAAGAACCACCTGGCATGATGATTCCCGTAAGTACCAACAATCCGTAGTTCTCAATGGTTTCGAAGTGGTGCAGGATTTCGACCATCATGCGTCAAAGGGATTTGGACCCTCCAAAATGCGGGTTTTCCTTTTCGCGACCCTTTAAACCAAGCTACACCAACTCCAGAAGCACAAACCCATCTGAAGGGAGCCCCAAATGGGCGATTTACCTTCCCCTCCAAAGGGTCCATTTGTTGGTCGGGGTAAATGGCTTCGATGCAAGACTCACAAACAGGGCTCCTTAAAAGATACATTTTGCAACCATTTGAAACATGGCTTTTTGAACAAACTGTCCTTTGTACCCCAAAGTGGCTGTTCCTTTTGGTTTCCCAAGCTGAGAAGGGCAATTCCTCACTTGGATGTCTATGTCCCCGCACAAAAGCTGATTTTCTGGAGTTCAAAGAAAGATCGAAAGCTAGATGCGTTCTTGGCTCGCTCCGATCCTCTCGAACGCGGGAGATGGGCTAAGTCTTGGGCTGAGTATCTTATATATGATCATGATTCAAGTTGTCTGTGCAGTCCCCCACAGCCCCATTCTAATTCTGGCCCTATGACCCAATGATTCCGTTTCCCTATGCAGTATGCTCCCTGGAGATGACATGGAAGTTTTAAATTGACCGTCACCGGTGGCCGGAACCTAGGTTAGGTGTCCGTCAAACCACCAAACAAAAGATAAAACCGTGACCGACAAGCATTCTAATTCTGGCTTTGATATGACCCAATCATTCCGGTTCCCTATGCAGTTACCGACCCCCCCCCCCCCCCCCCCCCCCCCCCCCCCCCCCCCCCCCGCCTTGTTTTTTCTGCAGGCAATGAACCAACCCTTGAAACGCATCCACTGAAAATTTGGCGTTTCAATTTGCCGGGGCCTGTTCCGCTCTTCCGCAGGCAGTCGCTGACGCAGCTCGACGGCTTCAATTGGCAGCAGGCAGCGTCCGAGGTGTTTCTCCACAGCTTTCTGTGTGCAACTTGCATGGGCGGTTGATCAAAAGGTCCTATACATGGGATGACCATCAGGGATTCCGCAAACACGAAGATGATTGTTGCCAATCAGTGGGGAAAAGTTGCCCATGTTCATTTTGGGCCAGGCATATTGGTCAACCCCCACATTGACTTGGAGTTGGCATGTTTTGCTTCTTGCCTCCAACAGCATGGCATTGTTGACAGGGGTTTTGTTTTTTGCCCCTAACAGCAAGAGCCATGGAGTCAAATTGCCAATCCTTGCTTGGCCGTGCTGGAGCAGGCTTCGAAAAGGGCTCCAGGAAAATTCCGGGCTGGTGGATACGTCATGGGCCGCGTATCCTGTCCAATAGTGTACTTGTGTTATCTTGAGATTGCCTTGGTTCAAAAGCCTTCTGCATGGTCTGGGTATACATCCTTCGCAGCATGGCATTATTCTTCGTTTCGCTTGTTGCTGAGTGGGTGATCTTGAATACAAGCAGGCGAGATGACCGTTTATAGAATCTTGTATGGCAGCTACAAACCACAGTGTCAGACTTATTCAATACGAAGTGTCATAACGGCGTGGTTGACAGATCTGAAATAGGCAGAGATGCAAGGGAAAGAAAGAGAAAAGGAGAAAGCATGAAAGAGAGAGGGACAAAGAGATAGAGAGAGCGAGAGCGCCAGCGTGAAGGCCGCATTTATCCTGAGAGAGCTGTTTGGTCCGAATGCAGGACATTGGGCATGCCAGAACCGAAACCAATTCCGCAACAGTCTTTGGAGGATGTGGGTCCATGAGCGTTTGGGAAGAAGTTCTAGTTCTACCTGCCAAACAAATGTTTACAGACAGGATCGGTTTTCCCATCCATGTGTTGCTCAAACAACCAGTTAGAACACCCCTTGCCCCTTGGAAAGGCTATCATGGTTTCGGCAAGGGGGTGCAAATGTGATTGCCAGGCTTCATGCTTTGCGCGTTCGGTTGCCTTTATATATACACAATTATTATGCGTGCATCTTTTTTAGGGGACCCTCAACCTTTAAAAAGGGTTTCATTAGAAAGGCACGCCCATGCATGTATATATATGTAACATGCATGATTCTATACGTACTGCATGCGCCTTTCTTTGTGTCGCCCCCAATGGCAAGTCCAGCGATCCTCGGCCAACTCATCTGAGTAGCAAAGGCCGCCCCAAAAAACAAGCTGGGGGGTCAATAGGGAAAAGTAACCACATACTCAGGGTCAGAGTTGGGCCTGTGGTCTCTCAGTAGCAGGGTTGTGGGATCAAGGGGTTAATCCCCGCTTCTGTCGTACAAAACAATCTTCCCCTTTATATGCGATGTAGTCTTTGGGAAGCCTTTTCTGTCGTATCACAGAAGTGAATTCCATTTCCCGCAGGCCTGCTCAGTAAGTACTGCGTGGTTTAGACATGTCGAGAATTGTTTTAGCGGTTAGCATTGGTTTAGTATTCCTTTGAACTGGTTCACTAGTCAGTGGAATTCCTTTCGTAGTTTTTTACTATTCCTCGGTACTGGCCCAGAGATTTGTGTTTGTCTCCATTTCGTCTCCTTCAACATGCCGTGCATTCTTGTTACCGACTTTCGGGGCTTCCCTGTACCACTCCCTTGAACATATGTCTGGGCGGCTGTTTTAGTAGCGGATGTCACAAAGAGTTTGGTCGCTTGGGGCCTCAGTTGGTTTGCTAGCTCAGGATTAGCTTACAATTGGTTGAATATTAGTCAGTATTGGTTCAGTATTCAGTAGTTGGTTTAGTATTAGTTTAGTATTGCCAGAATCATGTTTCTTTCTCCCACCCGGACGGGCAGCCATATATATATATCCAACAAGAAAAGACACTTTTCTGTATATGTCTCCCCTTCGTCTTTCAGGGTGGGAAAGAAATTGGAAAACTTGTTTGTTTTGCCTCCCGACTTACTAATCGCTGTCCGACGTTATGCCGCACGTGAGTTGGCTATCGCCAGGTGTTGGAGCACAAGCAAGACCGCACCGCTGCGCGAAAGATGAGATTGGGATCAAGACACCTGCCCGCAGTTGGTGGCTTTTGCGGCATCGCTTCGCGCGTTCTCGGATTCAAGCTGATGTGTGGGTGTGTTTTCCCCCTTCTATGGCCAGATGCTCTTGTCATGAACCCCAAGTTGTCAATGGCAGTGAACCCAACAAGGAAGCAGCACATTCCGGTGTTGTAGCCAGCAATCAAGTGGAGGATAGGACCAGGAGAGTAAAGGTGAATTGGCAAGGGCCCATAGCCATCATCCGATGTGGCCAGGGGAGTGACCCTGGCTCAAAAGTGGGGCACAAGGGGCCAAGCCGTTCCTTCCGGCCTTGTCGGTTATGTCTGACAAGGATAAGTACGGAACTTCCCAACCAATCTTATTTTGTCCCTACTCAAACATCGGGGGGATCCAATTTTGAAGACACAACCGTCAAATGCGGTCACTGCTTGGGTCCCTTTTGTCATGGACGCTTTGAAGGTCGGCGTGAATCCCTGGACCAAACCCTGTGATGAAGGTCCACTCGGTGTCAATGCGAGTGCCCAAAACGCCCATATGCGTGTGTCTTTTGTTTGTGGGTACCCCAGTGTGAAGCATTTCAGGTCCTGGCACAGGGCAGTGAGCTTTCGTTTGGACCAATCTTCTCCCTGGAAAAGGGTCCCATGTTTGACAAGCCATACGGTTGCGTGTGAACACAAACGGTTTTCCTTATTATGTTTTCCCGTTGGAGCGACATTCTCGTTTGGGGGACTCAGAAGACAACCAGGGCTTGACTCCCTAGTGCAATCGAAACTTGGCCTGCCAGGATGATGTGTAAAGGGGAACTATGGGGAGCCCTGTTTTACAATTGACAAGCGCTCTTGCAAGATGTACAGTCTGGGGGGAATTGTTCGCTATCTCTATGGCCAATGACTAACTGCATGCTTTAATGACATGCACCCGGCACCTATGTTCGTGATGCCAGCGGAACCCTTGGAGTGACAAAGTAGTCTTGGGGAATGGTCGGCTTTGATATCACAGATTTCGGGTGACCTGGGCCAAAGCCCGGTCCAGGATTTGCCAAAAACCCTCCCAGATGGTTGGTGGAAATCTCAGAAATACATCCCTATCCCAAGTCACGTGTGCCAGAGGGTCCCCAATGAAAAAAACAAAATCCATCTAGAGCACCTGGTTGTTGTCCGTCGATCCCAGGCAACCCCACCTCTCCTGTGCCGGTGCAGAGCTCGGGCTTCGCCGTGTGCCAAGATGCCGGATCTTTTTTTTTTTTTTTTTTTTTTTTTTTTTTTTTTTTTTTTTTTTTTTTTTTTTTTTTTTTTTTTTTTTTTTTTCGGGGAGATCTGTGAGGTGGAAGAGGCCAGGATCAGAACTAACTTTGGTGGATTTTGCCAAGGGCTGTTAGGACTTTAACTTTGTGCCAACTATTGGGTTTTCCACTAAACCACTATTAAAAAAAAAAAAACCTTTTAGGGGAGCAGATTTCGCAACCGAGCTAAGAAACCAACTCGGGCCCAGAGACTCGCAGATGGGCAAATCATTTTGGGCGTCAGAACCTTCCCGAATGTGCGCTGGAAAGGTTATTGACCCATCAGATCCCACGACCCATTGAAGCCCAGCGTCTTTGAATATGGACCCATATAATCCCACAATGGATAGGTGCATGAGGATGTTTGAAGCATCTTGATTGGACATGTATGGTGGCGCTTGGCCGGTTGACCCTTCCCTGGAGCCTTGTTGAAAACTGATACCTGCAAGCCAAGACATGTACGTTTGTTTATTGCGAAATATTGGCAGGTGTTGCTCGGTCTGTTTGGTGTTATCAATTAATTGCCTCGGGATCTTCCAGAAATGTTTTTTTTCAAGTAGAGCGCCCTGATGGGGGACTGGACATGATGCTCTGCCAGTGCCTATTCATTCAATGGATGACGTCCAATACGAGCCGCTCTACGTAGTTGTTTGGTTTGCGGACGAAGGGACAATCCAAGTTCCCAGAACCAGAGGACCAGCCGAAGGTTCCCTTCGGGTCTGTTGGGACAACATGTCCAGGACTCAAACCTATACCCGATGTGAACCCGCTAGTCTTTGTTTCTTGGTGGATTAACCGTGAGTGGCTTGACTTTCCAGAAGCCAACCTTTGGAGCCAAAATGGCCATAGGTTCATGGGCGTAATACCGGCAGCCTTTGATTGCGTCCTAATTCGTTCTGGCGGCATCACAGAGTTCGAATTCAGAGGCTTGTTTTGCTTGATGGGAAGGCCAGTCGTGCAGAACAGAACAGGGAGAGAAGTTGAGAGAAGCGCTTGCTCTGTTGACGGTTTATGACTCAACAATTACCAGCAATTCCATTCCCTGCAGTTGACGGTGAAGGACTACCCAGTTTGACGACTGCCTTCTGCCCAGCATGATTGTGATTTACTTTGTTTGTTTTGTGTGGGTGCCTGTGTCTGCGTCTGTGTGTGTGTGTGTTTGTGCATGTGTCTGTGTGTGTGTGTGTGTGTCAGGCAGACGTTCCAGATTCCAAGAGCCGAGCGGACGAAAGCTGGACATACTGTTATTCCAGGCGTTTGATGGAATCGACATGAGTCATGAGGTCATGAGTGTGAAGACAAACAACACTTACCCCGGTGGCAAGACCAACAGCTTGCTAGTGATGGTGATCCCTCGCCCAATGCTACCGGGTGAACCCAGAAAGCGAACTAAGGGTGAAATGCTCAAGGCTCAATGCAGATTGGCTGGTGCCCCTAGAGGCTTCCCAGACTCGGATTGGCCAACCCATTTTTTTTCACGACTGACCCACTGGCCACGGACAGATTGTTGTTTCATGGGGAAATGTCAAGCGCTCTGGGCAAATGGCGGTCAAAACCAATGGTACCAGTGGTTGGATTGGGATGTTCAAGGAATTACGATTTGGCTTTTGACCCATGGCCAAATGGTTTCAGAGCAACACCTTGGGGAGCAACGCCTTCAGTAGACTTCGCTGGAAGTTTTGGAAGCCTTGCCCAGCTGCCCAGTGGTGCGGTTTGTTTCTTCTTCTTTTTGGGAAGGGTTCGCCTTTAAAGTCAACCAACCAGAACCGGATGTCCTTTTTTCCCATGGCCACTGGGCTCTGAGCTTGGGAGTCTCTTCAAAAAGCTAGGTGCGCCAAAATGGGAGTTTCTCAAAATGGCTCATAATCCCCTTCTTTGGTTTCCCTTCGAAGACCAGCCAAAAGGAATCCGACCTTTTTGGGAAACCCCCTATTTTGAGAAACATCCAAATCAAAAGGATGCCATATAACGGGTCCCTTTGTCAACCCGCCGCGTACTTTATGCGGATAGTATTGATGCAAGCTTAAGTTTTGGGTGGTTTGGCCTATTGAAACCCTTCATGAAAGGGCCGGGCATCCTCCATGCGGACAAGAACACCGCTGGTGGATTTATTTCGGCCAAGGTAAGCTCACTGGTGACTCCCGATGTGGACAAGTTGCAGGAGCTTGCGAGGCGATGATCCAGGGTTGTCCTCAGCTGATTCAGAGCCAAGGGGAGCCATGGTAACCTAGTGACTACTCCACAACAACTGAACATGGACCAAAATAAGCGGGGTCCCCAAAGGAGTTGTCCTCTATAACTTGTGGTTTGTTTAGGTTCCATGTTGATCTGACGGGGAGTCTACATAGCCATCAAGGACCTGCAAGGGCCACTGGCCTCCCTTGTTTGAACATGGTCTTGGGGTTGGCAACTGGCACCCCTGAACAACCTTGGCGGTGTTGAGTGAACGCGCAGAGCAGGTTTGGGGTCCAAGGAATGTTTGTTTCTACGCAACCACACGGGGATGGATTCGGAAGGACACTCTCCTCTGGAAACCAGAATTCAAGACAAGCTGCGCGCTTGGGAGTGTGTCTGTGTGTGTGAGTGCCTTGACAAACCCACCCCTGCAAAAGTAAGATGTGGGCCCAACCGCCTGGTCTGGGCAACTGCGAAGGTTCAAATTTCAAGATCTCAGCGTTTCGATTTTCTGTGACTGGCACCCCACACCCCAATCAGCTCCTACTGTCAGCGTTGAGACAATTACTTCAAGGCTGGGAAGTTCAGACCGCAGCTTTCTCCGCACCATCATGGGTCAGTACTCCAAACTGCTCTGGAGGGATCCTACCACAAACGCTGGACCCATTCTGGCATCTAAAACCGTGTAGGCATGATTTGTTTGTCATGTAACTATTTGCCGCAATGCGGCTACGGCCGCAATATCACTCTTGAGATGCAGAAGCTCTCTCAGATCAGCGTTTCAACGTCTCGGAGGTTTGGGTTTGTGACACGGTATATACGGTCCCATGCTAGTCTTACAGGACTGCATGCATGTGTCTTCCACCAGCATAAACGGACGTTGGATGGGGTATCAGGGAGCGACAAAGTCAAGAGCACAAAGTCAATTGCAGGAGCACAACTGCATTTTCAGGAGTGACGGCTCTGAAATCCATGAGGATGAGTTCTTTGTGGTGTTGCTCGGAGATCTCCGAGAAGGGGGGATCAGGCATGTATACGTACACTTGAGGAGTGCAACACTGAGCTGTGAATCAAAGAGTCAGCGACCCGGACAAGGGCCAGCGCAAACCAAGATGACGTTTGATTTTTAAACAGGGGTTTTGGGTCAGGCTTGGATTGTGGCTCACATGGGTGCGTCTCAAAATAGCAGGACCCCTAAAACAGATTGGGTTTTCCCGCAAAATCCCCGCCCTTGACGACTGGGAACGCATGGTCTCTCACAGAACCCTCCAACGTAGCATGCCGCAGACATCTGTGAAAGGAATCGGCGAGGGAGCTGTTGACCTCATATTAATAAATCCCAGTAGCGGGTGTTCCCCTCCAATGGTGCTGATTTCCCCACTAAATCCAGAAACACCCCCATAGTAAACAGGGGTTGATGAATCTGGGGTCACGTTGAAAAGTTCTTGGAGCACATTGCTTGTCTCGCGGTGAACGCGCAGGCGCTATGAGATGGCGTTAGGTGCTTACCAGGCGCGGCATCGCTCATGGGATCAAAATCGTTGGGCTATGGTGGCCCCCCCCACAAAAAGGAACTTTTTGGTTGTACAAAGAACTTCAAGGCCCTCTAAAGAAAGAGGCGCACTCCGAATATGAAAGTGTGGGCCCCCTGAAAACTGTCAGCCCCGAAAAGGGTTCCGCTTTGCTACCAGGGCCAGTTGCAACTGAGTGTCTCTCAAAATGGCGGGCCACCCGCTTGTTGGAAATCAAGGAGATTGAACCGAAAAGGATGCCAACCTTTTTGGGGGGACCGATTCTGAGTTTGAGAGGCAAACAACAAAGGGTTGCGGTCTTCTCTTTTTCCATCAGGGCCAACGGTGATGCCCGCATGTCCTTTTGCCCTTTCTCGCTTGAACATAAACTACCAACACAGAGGACTGCCAATTGCCAATGCTTCTTCCCCATGGAAATCCACTGTGTCCCCTTCAGTTTCACCAACCAGTGGCTCCGCTCGCACCCATTTTTGTCTCATGGGTGTGGACGTGTTTGTTTGCCCTTCAACCGATTTTCACAAATCGGGTGATTTTTTTCTCGCGGGACCTTGAGCTTTGGTCGCGCTGAGGGCGCTCGCTTCGAGGAGGCCTTTGACCTTGCAGAGGCGAAGCCGTTTTTTGTTTTTGTCTTGGTTTTTTGGGGGGTTGGGTTTTGGGGTTGGTTTTTGGGGTGGGATTAAGGCGGTTATCCCCACTTCTGTGATACAAGGGCATCCCCTCTTTATATGGGGAGGGGGCCCATTTTGTTGCAATTGTCATTTCCCACAGCCCTGGTGTCAAGGGACAAAAAAAAGGGACAGAGTGGAAGATAGTGGAAGATAGTGGAAGATAGTGGAAGACTTGTTTGGCTGGTTGTTTGTGGGTGCTTTGTTCTTTGAAAGACAAAGGGGCAAGTAAGGGCCACACGGGTGCGGATATCCATGGTTTTATTCCATGGGTGGGTGGAGTGGACTCAAGGAGTTTTTGTAGGTATTTTCTTTGAAAGCCGGCAGAGAGAGAGCGGCGGCACCAGGCCCCGTTTTGGAACACGAGATCCTGCTCCAGGGGTCCAGTGGTCCGCGGGTGGTCCTTCGCCACTGCGTGTGGATTTCGGCGAAGCAGGGCTCGAGCCAGGGATGTTGACCCCCCACCCCAGTTGAGTTGATGTTGGATTTTGTTGGTAGTGCGAAACACCGGGGCCTTCCATTTGGTGAAGAATATTTCGCAGTTTCCCCTGTCGGTTTTACAGGGAATCTATCATTATTGGACATATTTTTCTTTTTTCCAGGGGACTTAAGCAAATGGAGGGTGCCCCTGCTGGAGGGAGTGGAGGTTGAGTTGACAAGCCGCGCTCAGCTTCCCGTGAGGTGCTCCTGGTGGACTTTTCGGAGGACCAGGCAAGATATATTTTTTCCATCCGATGCGGAAGGAGCTCACTGTTGTTTTTTGAGGGAACCCATTTTTGGGGTCGTTTTTTGTTAGGGAAACCAAAGGGAAACCACGGGTCCCCAAACTCATGGTATTAATTTCCGGATGCCTTGGTGCAATTGTTGCGCAGGGAACGCGGATCCCAGGACAAATGTGATTGCAAATTCTTGGAAAACGTGGGGTCGAACATGGTGGAATCGGTAAGTGGTGAATTTCGATTGGGGGCAGCAAGCTACTTTGGAGGTGAGCTGGGTTACTGTTTGGAGGAAACACCCCTGTTGCTGGGCCAGGTTGATTCATCTAGGGGTGTTGACTGGCCCAAATCTCTTCCCTTGCGTCGGTCGTCTTTGGAGCAACACTCTGCCCCCACGGAAAAAGCAACCCTGTGCTTGGTGATCCCGCGGAATGAATCGAGGGGAGTCGATGAGCTTGTTGGGTTGCCAAACGTTCAACCCGTTAGAAGGTTTACAGCTGCATGTTTGTGGCTATGTTCCATTTACAACTAAGTAGCTAACGAGTAACTGAGTAACTAGCTAAGCAAGTCATGAACTAGCGATTTGAATGGGGGTCTGCCAGGATAGATGCACTTTTGGATTGGTTGGTCGCATTGTGCAAATCAACTATGGGCTGCCACAACGTTGGAAGTCCGGATAAACGAGTTCCATGTGTCAGTATTTGGTTGCGACCATGGTCACTGATACTGTGCAGGGACAAACCCGTGCAACAGTCAGCAGATGGTATAGGGTGCCATGCATGCCAGCTGGTGCACAGCCACTGTATTCTAGGGGTTGATTCCATTTCCATTCTTTTCAACCATTGTTCTTTTCAAAAACCGATCGCATTTCCCCAGGCATTTTGGTGGTTTTCGAGAAAGATTCGGATCCCTGGAAAGAATGGAAATGGAAGTTACCCCTAGAAGTATGTCTGGGTGGCTTGCACTCTCTTCCTTTCCCCTGGCCACCTTCGAGCCGTCTTTTTTTTTTCCGCCGGGCTGGGGACTGGGGGAGGGGGGGAGGTACCGGGTACGGGCGCTCCTCAACAAGAACACAGATTTGTGAACTTCTGAATCCCGCGTGATGCTGTGTGTGTGTGTGTGGGTTAGGGTGTTGTTTTATTTTAGATTTTCGAGTGGCTGCTTACATATGTTCAGGGGTTGTTTCTTTCCGCTCTGTTCACCTCACTTTCTACGGACGTGAGCAACTCAGCGCTGACGGTCCTGCTTTCGCAAAGTGACAAGGGTGATACGCTGTACTTTCTGTTTGGCAAGGTCTTCTTGTTGCTTCTGCACACTGGCCCTTCGAATAGGTGGCTTTGCCAGTAGAGGGCTATAAAACCTGCATACAGAGCCTCCATCGTAGCAAAATGTTATGCCCTTCCCCTGGTTCGATACACAAGTTGACACGTTGTAGTATTTTGTTTCTCCATCGCTATTGTTTGGGCTTCGAGCAGAAAAGCTCGGTAGTTTCCATTGCCATGTTCTTTCACAGATGCGGGTTTGGGAAGAGTCATCAACGAAACGAGCGCAAAAAGGTGCCAAACGAGCGCACATCGGCGCCACAAAGTGCAAACAAGTGCAAACAAGTGCAAACAAGTGCAAAACGAGCACAAATTCAACATATGGCACCGGGAAGGTGTTCCATACAGGCATAATTGCTTACAACTCGAGCGATTTGTGTTGAATCGTACATTTTTGTTAGAACAGGTTGTTGCGAGCAGAAATTGTTCGTAGCAAAAACACGTGGTATCTAGTATCAATCCCTGAGAATCCACCCCTGTTCTCTGTGCAGGTTTGCTGAATGGGGCACTATTTTGAGGGTAAACCTTGTCAGAGAGCTACAGGTGGCTGCAGGGAAGGATTTACAACCATCGCTAGGTCCCCCAGTAGTGCTCTTTTACTTTTTTTGGGAGGGTTCCCCTAGTAAAATAGACAAGAGGCAAACGTTGGTACCCTGGAGGGTTCCCCTAGTTAAATTGACTACAGAAAAAAATCGGGTACCCTTATTCTATCCTCTCTACCGGAGGACCCTACATCCTGTTGAGTGAAGCAGGCCGAGGGCAAAGGCCGGCTTTCGGATTTCGGACGGCAGGCCACCCAGCGGCTCTCCAACATAGCATACGCGAAGCTGCCGGAGGCGCGTTTTTGGAGCGCGTTTTTTGTTGTTCTTTACAGGCGTGCATCAAAAAGAGACCCTGTGCCCCAGTGTTGTTGTTGTGTTGTTGTTGTTGTTTTTGTCTTTTCCCCGATTTTGTTGACATACAGGTGGGGAGAGCTGTTGAAGTAGTGTTCCCGTTTCCTTGCGACATGGGGTTGGTTCGCATCACTCAAGTCACATCAATGATCGCGACTGGCATAGACTTGCGAAGCCACTCTGCCTGGGAAAGTTTGCCGGTCCTGGTGCCTTGGAAGTCCGAGTTCCTTCAGCGAGTTATGTGTTTTTGAGGCTACCCGTGTCACCTGGGTTTAAAGGTTCAAACGTAGACGCCCGTTCGAGTTGGGGCCTTTGTTTCCAGGGGTGGAGGGGAGGCTTCTGCGCAAGTGAAGGAGCTCCATCCCCTTTCCCATTTGGTAGGTCTCCGATGACACTTTTTTTTGGGCCAGGAGGAACATGACGGTCCGTTAATTTTACATACGTATGTTGGGCCAGGCTAATTATGGAATTTTACATACGTATGAGGCTCGGCAATGAAACTTTGTGACAAACGCTTCCTTTTAGGAAGCCATGACTGTCCTTCAATGAGCACCCTATACAAGCCATGCATGTTGATCATGGCAGCTGCAAATGGACATGAAGCGCGGTTCCTGATACCACGCTTTGATGCGCTGCATCAACTTATGATTTGTGGCAGCCACACGAGCATTGGCACTTGGCATGAAGAATCGATCCGCTGACAATGAGACAAACACGGCTCGATCTTTCCTCCATGAACGAGTTTCTCACTGGACAAACTATCCACTTTGTAGCAGATGCAAAGCTATGGTTCGACAACTCCCGTGGAGCTGCGAATTCAAGAGTTGGGAAGCCTTCTAGCAACGGTCATGACCTCTGAACTCCCAACCAAGCCTTTGAACACATCGGGCTTCGAAAATTAGGGCACCCTTGTTTTGGGCAAGGAACCCAAAGGGACATTTTTGGCAGGTTCGGGTGGAGAATTCTTGGGCGAAATGCCTGATGCTTGGCAGGTTGCCAAAACATCGAGTTCCAAGGCTCGGCCAAAAACGGGCATGGCGTGTCTGTTGGAGGTCCCAGCAAATCGGGTTTGGGACACCACAAAACACCCGCGAATTAATTCTGGGGAGTTCCAACTATGAGATGGTATTGCCCCAAAGCTTGCAGTTTCCTTGGAGAGAAGCGGGCCCCCGATGTTTGCAGACTGAGTTGCATATGCTTGACTGCTATTGGGTTGGATCTTTAGACTTTAGCTGTTGGGGAAATCAAAGGGCTTTTCATTAAACCGGCAAAAAGTGAAACTTTTTGCAGAGGGGTCAACAGTAACCAAGTCTTGGCATGTCAAACACTTTCTGAAAAACCGACACACACACACACACACATTCTTGGCATCCCCAGCAGTTTCAACGTAGAGCACCGAAACCTTCCACCTTTCAACGGGCGTGCTGGCCCGAGACTTCGGGAATCGATTTTCATCCCCTTTAGGTGGCAAAATGGGTGTAGATTTCTGCTCATGGTGTGTTTAAATGTTTGCCCTAGCCATTTGGTGTGTGAGCAATCCTGTGGGGCCCCGAGTTGTCGGTCGGTCGGCCGGTGGCCGGGTGCTTCTTTGGCTTTCGCGGCTACTTGCTTTCTTTTGTGGCGTTTGGTTTGCCTTCCCACATCCTCAGCTAGCATCACTTCCAGGAGAGTGTTTGCAACCCACCCCAAACTAGCACCCCAAACCGACCAACCCTAAACCCACCCCTAAACCCACATTAAACCAGCACTTAAGCATCCTCAGCCAGCCAAAGCCTACCACAACCCCCCAAACCCATCCAAACCAGCGCCCTAAACTATCCCTAGACCACCCTACTCCAACTCTAAACTCCCACTACACCCAGCGTAGACCGCAAATACATACCCACCCTAAGCCCATGCTAAATCCGCACTGAAGAAGCCCTACAGAAACCAAAAACCCAACCTAAACCAACCCGAAACCAACCCTAGCCAACCCCAAACGAACCCTAAGCAAACCCTGACCAAACCTAAGCCCACCCTTTTCCAACCCCCAATCCTGACGAACCCTGAGCCAAACCTAAACCCAGCCCAACCCTATACCAATCCGAAACCCAGCCTAAACCAACCCTACACCAACTTGAAGCCACTTTGAGAGCAACCCTGAGCTTTAGACCAGCACTAAAGCATCCTAAACCAGGCTAAACCTACCCAACACCCGCCCTAAATCAGGCTAAACCAAACTGAAACCCCGCTCAACCAGCCTCAACCAGCCTCAACCAGCCTCAACAGCCCTAAACCAACTCTGACCCCCCACTAAACCCAGCCAACACTACAACTAAATCCACCCTAAACCTATTGCATTATAGAAACCCTAAACCCACCCCAAACCACCAAGAACCATCCCAACACCAACTCACTCAACCAGCCCAAACCTGCAGCAGCCCTAAACCAAACCTAAAACAGCCCTAAAACCCTCAACCAGCCCTAAACCCACCCTAAACCAGCCCTAAACCCACCCTAAACCAGCACTAAGCTTAAGAGTTTTCGTCCAGCCAACCGTTGAGGGAGGTTAAAATAATATATTGTGTGATTTGGGAGTGAGGGTTGGAGCAAGAAAATAGCAATCTGAAAATTAAGAGCAAACTGAAAAGCAAGAAAAAAGTGATTCACTTGCAACAGTTGACACAAACAAGCAAGAAAAAAGTGATCAGATGGTCATCAAATAGTGATTTGGGCACCTCAAAATAGCAAGGATCCAAATAGGGATTATATGGGAGATCACTATTTTCTTGTTTTTTTTTGGCAGGCGACAACCCTCAAAACCCGAAATCTGCAAATCACAACGGGAGATCACTATTTTCTTGCTTTTTTGGAGTGGGAAATCACTATTTTCTTGTTTTTTTTGGAGGCGACGACCCTCGAAACCCGAAAATTTGCCAATCACAACGGGAGATCACTATTTTCTTGCTTTTTTGGAGTGGGAAATCACTATTTTCTTGTTTTTTTTTGGAGGCGACGACCCTCGAAACCCGAAAATCTGCAAATCACAACGGGAGATCACTATTTTCTTGCTTTTTTGGAGTGGGAAATCCATATTTTCTTGTTTTTTTTGGAAGCGACGACCCTCGAAACCGGAAATCTGCAAATCACAACGGGAGATCACTATTTTCTTGCTTTTTTGGAGTGGGAAATCACTTTTCCTTGCTTTTTGGGCAGCGATGACCCTCGAAACCCGGAAATCTGCAAATCACAACGGGAGATCACTATTTTCTTGCTTTTTTGGAGTGGGAAATCCCGATTTTCTTGTCTTTTTGGAGGCGACGACCCTCGAAACCCGAAAATCTGCAAATCACAACGGGAGATCACTATTTTCTTGCTTTTTTGGAGTGGGAAATCACTATGTTCTTGTTTTTGTTGGAGGCGACGACCCTCGAAACCGTAAATCTGCAAATCACAACGGGAGATCACTATTTTCTTGCTTTTTTGGAGTGGGAAATCACTATCTGCAAATCACAGCGGGAGATCACTATTTTCTTGCTTTTTTGGAGTCGGAAATCACTTGTTCCTTGCTTTTTGGGCAGGCGATGACCCTCGAAACCCGGAAATCTGCAAATCACAACGGGAGATCACTATTTTCTTGCTTTTTTGGAATGGGAAATCCCAATTTTCTTGTGTTTTTTTTGCAGGCGACAACATCCAAATAATAGTGATCTCCCGCTGTGATTTGCAGATTTTCGGGTTTCGAGGGTCATCGCCTGCCCAAAAAGCAGGAAAAAGTGATTTCCAACTCCAAAAAAGCAAGAAAATAGTGATCTCCCGTTGTGATTTGCAGATTTCCGGTTTCGAGGGTCGTCGCCTCCAAAAAAAACAGGAAAATAGTGATTTCCCACTCCAAAAAAGCAAGAAACTAGTGATCTCCCGTTGTAATTTGCAGATTTTCGGGTTTCGAGGGTCGTCGCCTCCAAAAAGACAAGAAAATAGTGATTTCCCACTCCAAAAAAGCAAGAAAATAGTGATCTCCCGTTGTGATTTGCAGATTTCCGGGTTCGAGGGTCGTCGCCTCCAAAAAAAACAAGAAAATTTGGATTTCCCACTCCAAAAAAGCAAGAAAATAGTGATCTCCCGTTGTGATTTGCAGATTTCCGGGTTTCGAGGGTCATCGCCTGCCCAAAAAGCAAGGAACAAGTGATTTCCCACTCCAAAAAAGCAAGAAAATAGTGATCTCCCGTTGTGATTTGCAGATTTCCGGTTTCGAGGGTCGTCGCTTCCAAAAAAAACAAGAAAATATGGATTTCCCACTCCAAAAAAGCAAGAAACTAGTGATCTCCCGTTGTGATTTGCAGATTTTCGGGTTTCGAGGGTCGTCGCCTCCAAAAAAAAACAAGAAAATAGTGATTTCCCACTCCAAAAAAGCAAGAAAATAGTGATCTCCCGTTGTGATTTGCAGATTTCCGGGTTTCGAGGGTCGTCGCCTCCAAAAAAAACAAGAAAATAGGGATTTCCCACTCCAAAAAAGCAAGAAAATAGTGATCTCCCGCTGTGATTTGCAGATTTGCTGGTTTCGAGGGTTGATCACAATTTTCTTGCTTTTTGTTTCACAATTGTCTTGCTATTTTCTTGCTATTTCTGGTCTCTTGTTTGCTGCATTCTTGCTTTTTTAGTGCCCACTGTTTGCTCGAAAATCACTTTTTCCTTGCTTTTTTTTTCCCACCCGAAACTTGGGATCACTATTTTCTTGCTCTGTTGCTTGCTCTACATCTCACAAAAAAATTAAAACAGCATTTTCCAATGGCCGTAAACCCGCGCACGAAACAATCCCGACCAACCTTAAACCCCACTCGAAAACAACCTAAACCCATCCTAAACCACCACTAAACCAACTCGACCATCCCCAAACCTAAACCCATCCTATAACCAGCCCTAAACCACCCTAAACCAACCCTAAACCAGCCTTAAGCCCAACCAAAACCAACTCTAAACCCACCGTAAACCAGGCTAAAACCACCAAACATCAGCCCCAGCAAACACTAAGCAAACCCAAAACCACCCGAATCCAACCTTGAACCAACCCCAGCCCGCCCTAAGGCCACCCTAAACCAACCCTGAACCGGCTCAAACCCACCCCAAACAATGGCTTCTTCGAAAAAAGCGAGCCCTTTGCGGCTTTTCTGGATCGGGACCGCCCCGCCGAACCTAGGGAAAAAAAAGGCCTGCCGAACCTAGGCAAAGAAATAGACCCTTCCGCCAATCCTGTGGGGCTGGGTTGTCCCGCCATGGGTATTGTGGCTTTTGGAAAACCAGTAAAGGTGACACCACCCATCGTTCACGCTAGGTCGTCGCTAGGTGGTGGGGAAGACAAGCCCTCAGATAGAAATCGAGCGATGCGCAACGTGTGGGCCACCTGCTGAACTTCATTCCAAAAAATGCGCCAGCGCCATGGCACGACACCCTGGATACAGTGCCCATCAACACACACTTGGCACAGAAATGGCCAACCACTTTGGAGGTGGTTTCCTGTTGAAATGCATGGCCAAACGGCCAAGAGTTGCAACAGCATGCCTTTCGTGCTAGTTGTTTGCAGTTTGGCCTTCTTCTGGTAGACCACCTAGATCAACAACTCCCTTGCCAAGCATCTCCTCTCTGCCACAACCTGAGCCTTTCCAGTCACCTTGCTGAGCCCGACAGAGCTGTCTGTCATCCCCGGAGTGGCGCTGCATGTGCAGACGTTCAACATCCGGGATGGCTCAAATCAATTCGCTGTCCAATTGAGAAGGTGGCAAGAGATGCGAAACGGCAGAGGGCAGTGTCCAGCCAGAGATCCGGAGAGCAGAAGATCAGCGTGGCCAGACCGGCCAGGAGAGAGCGATTGAGCGCGAAGTTGGTGGATCTGATGTGATCCGTGAGTTTTTGAGCACAACTGCGCAGCGAGACTCGGCCACACGCGGAGGGTGACAAAAGTGTGGCCTCAACGCCTCCCCAACGTTGCCACAATCCTGCAGCCTTAGGCTTGTCTAGGTTCCCCAGTAGTGCCCTTTTACCCTTTTTTTGGGGAGGGTTCCCCTACTATAATAGACTACAGACAAAGGGGTACCCTTATTCTGACCTCTCTACTGGAGGACCCAGTTGTAGTCAGTCATAGTCATTGCTCCCTACAATCCAAATCATAAAACAGCACGCTTCGCCATGAATCACACGCAAGGACTGCCAGTGATTGGGAGAGAGAGCCACTGGGTGGCAGAACTCTCAGCTGTGTTTCTATGATTATCGGAGAGGTGAAGCCAGGGGGTGGAACTTTGCAAACCGAAACAAAACTGTTTGAGTTTGGCAGTTGTCCTGCTAATCGGCAGTCAGCTTTGCGCATGTTTTGCTTTTCTTTGCGCGTATGCCGCATGCATGAACCGAGTCTTTGGTAGTAGCTGAGAGAAAGTCTGCTGGTTGGTTTGATGCCACCCTTTTGGATGGGCAAGCTAGTTAGTTACTGAGTTACAACGTAGTCACCTGGCTAGTTTCTGACTGAGCTAGCTGCTTTCTTCTACGACTTTGTCACTTTCGCGATCCTGACCTCTTTCCGAACCAACTGAGTTCCACTAAATCTGAGGGTCTTGACTCCCCCGAAACGCCTCAAACACACTGGGCGTCTTGGACATTCGCCCGTCTGGGCATGCGACCTTCCGTGGGCCCGTTCCGCAGGGGCCGTGGAATGCGGTGACCGCCGGGGGGCCCGGGATTTTTGGGACGCGGTGAGATGTTTCACCCGGGGGAAACCGCCTGCTCTGCCGGCTTTTTTTTTGTTTTTCCGGCCGGTTGGGCGGTTCTACCAGTATCCCAACTGAGCCAAGGGCGCCTCCCCTTGTCGGCTCTGCATCTTTCCTGGGATTTGCCAGCTTCGAGGGCATTGGGTGGATGCCTCTTCTTTAGCTGAGCAAATTGAAGGTGTTCATGTTTCCAAGGGACCTCCTGTTTGGTTTAGTGTAACAGGATCAGTGGATGCTTTGGAGCAAAGCCTTGTTTTGACATACAACCTTTGGAAGAGGCAATGGACAATCTGCCGACGAGCTCGCCTAGGAATCTGTTGATCCACTGAACACCCCTGAAAGCAAGGGCCGATACAAAAAACACAAGTTGGGGATAGTTCTAAGGGCTGATTCCCAATTTTTGTCACCCGTCGTTCTTCTTGAAACTACAATTTGTCCAATGGTTTGCCAACCTTTGAAGAAACCCTTACAGCTTCTAGCAACTCTTTTTGTCATGCAGGGGGGGCGGGGGGGCTTGGGACGTTTTCGCAGCCCCAATACAGGGGCTTGGGCGCTTGAACATTGCGGTCTCCGATCCCGGTGCCTTCGGCCAAGGGACACTTGAATACCTAGATACAAACTTGGATCCTGAAGATAGTATGAGTTGCTATGAAGGCAACCAGGCTTTCCGAGTTTCCCTGAAGTTCCGTGTTGCTTTTCGGCAGGACATCCTGAAGCACGCACCAAGCCAAGCAATTATAAGGATTCGTGCGAAGAAGCTCTGAATCCTACGTGTAGCTCTTGGTACATGCAGCTTCCCCTGCTTTGCTGCGTTGCTGCCGACCTGGCTTGTCACAGGCAGCGAATCCAATGAGACTTATTTTGCAAGGGCACTGGTGCCAGGTCTTTCAAATCCCTGCAATCAACTTGGAATATGGGGCTCCTGATCTGTTCTATTGGGATGTCAACTGGAAACCTGTTTTTGGGGGGTTTCCTGGTTGCATTTTAGGACAATATTGGCAATGACACATTCTATGCAACCCCCTCCCCCCCTTTCCCCCCCCCACATGTTTAACATGGGCTGAATGGTCGCCTTCGCCAAGACCTTGCGGTCAGCAAGCTTCCCCAACGAAAGGTCTGTCTCCCGTTGCTTCACAGGCGAAAGTAGAGGGCACAACCATCTTTCGGTTCAGATACTGAAACTAGGTCCGCCAGCTAGGAGCCCTTTTATTTCTTTTTTTGGGGGAGGGTTCCCCTACTAAAATAGACAAACCAGACAAACATCGGGCACCAACTTCTTCTAACCTCTCTACTGGACCTAGGAAACCATTTTTAGGCGAATTGAAGCGTGGCATCGTCACTTTGTTTCCGCCGGCCTTGCAGCTTGGGATGTTCCCCATCCAAGGGGGAGCCGAAAAGAAGCGGACATCAAATTGGCTGCACAGTGGGTGGTTTGTTCCAGCGACGGATTGGAGGATTCGCAAGTGTTTACACTTCATAGGCATGTAGCTCAGGTTGCGGCGAAAAGCTTGGATGCCTCCTTGTATGTCAACAGGCGGTTGGAGCTGCCTTATACTGAAGTGGATGGCCTGTATCCTTGCTGTGAAGTGTGTTTGCGGTTGTCTTTTCCCACGAACCTGTTCTTGTTGGCACGTAAGGCACCTTTTTGCCCCGGCAAAGGGTAGCAGCATAGGCCTTTGCTGGCAGACTGATTTTGTGAAACCTGGACCAGCCAGGCCTTTCAGTTGTTTCCTCAACGAGAAGGTCTGGTGGGCAGGGTGCGGAGGTAGGTGTCCAGCAAAACTCCGAAGCCTCAGGTCATGGTGGACAAGGAGTAGGTCTTCTAGGCCCGCCCGGCATGATTTGGCTACGGCTGTGGGTGATGGGTGTAGCACTTTTTGAGGCTTGGGGCCATTCAATTACGTGTTGGGTTGTTTCAAAGGGACAACCCAAAGGAATCCACGGATGTTTTTGCGCTTCCTTTGCTATGAGACGACCTTGTTTCGGATGAAGGGGCCGGTTCCAATCATGTTTCAGACTGCATGGGAAGGCTAATGGTCGGGTCGGGAAAGCTCGGACAAAGCTCCGTGGAGTCAACGGATTCTTTCACTTTTGCAGCTTGGCGACGAGCGCCAAATGTTTCTTGAACCCAACACGTGCTTGCAGAATTTCCGGTGTAAAGACACTGGGTCTCTCCAAGGTTCGGTGAATTGCCCTGAAGCCTCCACCCCAGGTTCTTCCCAAATTGCCATCCGCTGGGGGGCTGGATAGCCATCCACGGTTGCGCGTTGCCTTTCAGGTTGGGGTAGTTAACAGACCGTATGTCATTCCAGAGCAGCCAGCCATGGAATTTGAATCGAGCATTCTGGAACCCGGTGCTTTAGACACCACGCTTTTCGTGTCCCTGGATCTGTGAAGGTAGTTTTACCAAATAGACCTTAATCACCTTAATCAAAAGCATTTGGGGGCCAGAAGCTGAGGTTGTCGAAGTTGGGCTGGAATTGGAGCAAAGACTTCGGGACATGGAAACCTGTCGGAGCGTCGATTTGTCCTTCCAGGGCACTTTTCAAAAACGGAAAGTTCAAGGGCTGGTTCCCTACGCTCGATGGTGGTGTTTAAGTGGGAACCACTCGTCCTGGAACGACGTGCTTGGGCATGCAAAGGGGCAATCCCAGGTGCGTAACAGCCAACACTGAAAAGGCCAGACGAGTAGTTGGGAGGCAATTGAGGGGCGGCCTTTGGGCCTTTTTTGGCCTTTTAAACGACCCCCCAAAATGGTCAAAACTTGGGCAACCTCCAGCATGTCTCGCTCTGGGCCAGGTGCATGACTAGCGAAGCGGCCGGTCGGGCCATTCCGTTTGAGCTCCCACGCCGCTACTTTGCCGGTGCGTTTCATGCATGCCGAAAAAGAACGCCCGGTGATTGACAACCTTCCCACCTGTTTCCACACCAAGAGTGACTAAAACAAATACTTGGATGGACGAATTCCTAAAGGTGATCCCTGGAATGATGATTCCCCAAATACCAACCGACAATGCTTTCCCATGATTTCTTAGGTGCTGCAGGAGTTCGTCCATCCACAGTAGGTCCTTTGTTTTCTGATGCAAAGATCCTAAAGTACCGGTTGAAGTTTTAAGCATCTGACCATGGTTCCAGAAGCTGAACCGCCAGAATCTCAGCGTTTTCGACGACTTTTGCCTAAGCCTACATCGGAAGTAAAGGGTCCTTGGTGGTCTCCCCACCCTAAAACCAACCCTCATCCCTGACCCCTTCAACAAAAAGGCTGTTGAACTTGTGGTTTCGGATATATGCCTTTTTACACCACTGGGATCTCTTTTGAGGTTTTTCACAATTTGAAGGTTGACAATGAAACAGAAACAACAGTAATATGCCTTTGGTTGGTGGACAAACGCTGAGGTAGACCAGGTTGTGGTCATGACTCACCGTTTGCCAGAAGGCGCTGGGTTGTCTCCAGAATTGACAATTCCTTCTCGCAAGAAGGGCAGAAAGCAGGGCGTGTGCGGGTGGCAGAAGGAAGCGCTACCGCTGGTTTCCGAGGGGTTGCAAGATGTTGCAAGGAAACCCGCCCTGAAACATGGCATGTTGCGTAATTAGTTTTCTTGTTCCCTTCTTGCAAAATTTAGGATAATCAACTGTATGGAAGGAGATATTCCAGACAGCAATTCTGATACGGATTTCTATGAGGGAAGTCAGGACCATCGCCCACAAGCAATGTTTTGACCGTGGCACAAATGTGGGTATGTCTGAACATGGGGGGTCTATGGGGTAGCCATTTCGGATTGCTTTGGGTGAAACAGGAAACCCACTGCCAGACATCTCTTGTTTTTGACATACACCATGTTTTATTTTCCACGGGACGTCTGGAGGCCTTTTCAGGAGAGTCTTCCAACCTGCAGCGTGGCTCCTTGGGCAATTTTGCAGGCATGAGTCTCCCAGAGGACCCGTTTCTTTGTACCTCCTGATGGCTTTGGGTGTTTTTTGTTTGGGGGTCCAAGTACCTAGATTGTACCAAGGGCCCGCTGGGTGTCAGAACGGTTCTTGGTGCAAAGTGTACAGACACATCGCTTTCTGCCACCTGTCTGCCTGCCTCGCCAAATTCAATCAACCCATCAAGGGGTTGCAGCCGAGTTTTGCGAGCTTCCCAAAAAAATGGATGGGAAGTTCCTGAACCATTGAAGATGACCAGCTGTCACAATGCCATGCAGGTCGGCTCTTTGACACCAGGACTAGCTTGCCCCGGACCTCCGGTTGCCAAATTCTCTACGCCCGCGCGAGCTCGCGTGAGATCGCGACCCAATTTGACCTCTGGTTTCCCATGTCGGAAAGCACTCGTAGCCTCTCTCCCGCTGACCAGGGGCCCCTCTTGAGGAAACGGATCTCCGGGTGCCCTCCCGCAGGTGCCATAGGAGGGCGGCCGGGAAGCTTCCATTCCCAGGTCCTTGCAAGTGAGCCCAAGGGATTGGGTGCTACACCCATGAGATTTTTACCCTGGAATAAACCACCGTTTTTTTTCTTCAGCCGAATTTTAGCTGGTGGGGTTGCCACTGAAGCACAGAGCATTTGCTCGCCCATCTTGGGATCAAACGACAGCCCACAATTTCCTTTGCCCGTGTGTTTTCAGGGGACCCCCTGCAACGCGACAAAGAAAAGGGGTACCACTCCAAAAAGAAAAAGGACTTTGTCATCAACCAATGAATTTCTTGCAGAAGTCTGGCCAAGGTTCACGTTCCTTCGCTGCGTCACTCTTGGATGTGCCCTTGCTGCAGTTCCTTTTTTTTCCGCGTACTGGAAAATGCGAGGAACATGATGAAAGGGTCCTTCATGGGTGAGGTCGGACTGGAAGCTGAGGTCAACGTCCGATTGTTGAAAATAGCGACGCTACAAGAAAGCAACCGGAGGTGGTAGCTGCTGAGTCCGCATCTTTGGACAGCATATCTGCGCCATGAGGGCTTCCACTACCCCCAAGCCAAGCCGGACAGACACACAGACAGTGCACAAAGGCAGGCACACAGACAGGCACACATACACACAGACAATCAAGCACAAACATACAGGGACGCAGACACAGACACAAAAAGGAGCACCCATGTGATTTCATTTCCCACCATAGCAACTAACCAGTGGAAACCATATGGACGATGTTCGGACTACAATGGCAACGAGGATTGACTACAGGATATATATATATATATGTATGTAGTATATACACAAATATCTACATATATATATATATATATGTATATACACAAATATCTGTATGTATACATGTATATATATATATATCGCATTTGGTTCGGGGGAAGCCCTCTTGGAATCGCCGGGCTCCAAGGATTCTAGCGGTTTTCCAGCCCGAAGGGGTGCTGGCCTGCAATACACCGACAGGTGTCGCTTGTCATAGAGTGTCTTTTTCATTGCGGCTGTTTTTGGGGCCCACGAATTGTGAGACACGCCCGGATCTGAACCGTGCTGCCCGCTGTAAAGACAGGTGGAATGCGTGTCATTCTGCCTAGGGCAAAGTGAGTGCAGAATCTGGGCCCAGCTTTGCAGGGTTGCTCCGAGCCAGTCTCATGAGTTTGGTACGAACATGGAGATGTTGTTCCTTTGTACCAGGGAACAAAGCTCTCCCGTGTTCCAGGACTGTTGGCCACGCCCAAACTCCCGGAAGGTCGCACTCGGTGCTCAGAGACCAGGATTCGTTCGTTGGATCTTTGGAGCAACCCTGTCTCTGGCGATTTCTTTCGTCGCTTAACGCTGCCAGCTGCCAGACGGCGAGTTGGGATTGGGGGCTCGGCAATGCTCGCACCGGTCGAGCTTCGTAGCCAAGCCCTCAGACCGTTTCACCCATGAAACCACTCTCTCGGTGTGTCCGCTGTCCTTTCTTTCAAGCAGACGCAATTGAACCCGAGCCAGTCCTAGAGGGGTGGTGGTTTCCCGCAGGCCCATGGCAGACTCAACTTGGAATGAATCTGGCAGATGCGTATACACAAATGGTTGCCAGAAACCCAGGGAAAAATCGAAGCGACTGTCGAGATGTTGAGAGATTTCAACCCCAAGCAAGCGGCAAGCTGCTTTCTGAAGATGTCCGGATGAACTCAAAGAGTCAAGCCTTCTTTGACCCTTACGTTTTGTTGGATCCCTTGGTAGATATGAGCAGAGGGAATTCCCATCGATTGGATCAATTCTGTACCCACTCCGGCAGGGACTCTTTGTTTGGCTGAGGTTTTTGTTTTGTTCTTCGACATTCTATGGCTGCCCTTGGCTATGAAAACAGATAGGGAACCCTCAAAAGTGGGAGGTGGACGGAGGTGGACATCAATCCCCACCTAAATCCCCCACCTAAAGGCGCCAAAAAGGTCCCCAAATAAAATTCGTAGCCAGGCTTTTCCGTCATCGAGCGGTCGGTCAGTCGCGGCGCTTGCGCTCCAGCTTTGTGCCTATCCACCTGCGCCACAGACCAAAGAGAGGGCTTTGTCTTGCTGGTGCGACAGGCAGGGAAGGGAATGACCCTGGGAAATGCGTCCATCCTATGAAATCCTTTAAGGATCCCTAGGTTCATTCCCTACTGAGCACCAGCAAGTTGCGCTTGAAGTGGCACTATTTCACGACCTACCTTGGACATACGATGAAATTCAGCAACGCCAGCTACTACCACCTACCTCGGAAAATGCCAAGACTTGGCTTTGCTAAGTGGAAATGATATGGCTGTGGGTCAAAACCCTGTACCCCTGGTGAACATCAACATGGGTGGCAAATGGATGTTCATCTACCCCAAAATGGGATCGCCATAGCTTTTGACACATGGCCATGTGAGACAGCTCAGGGGCGTGACTGAGGCAATGGATTAGGATTGAGGCTTGCTAGGCGCCAGCTTCTCCCAACCAATGAATTCTGGCGCTGGCTCACATGATAGTTCCGAGCAGGGCGAATTCGACGGAAATTGACAATGCCAGCTACTTGTCCATTCTCAAGAATTCAATCTATATATGTAATATAGATCTGTTTTTCCAAATACCGCATAGCTGCCAAGTAGGCACTCAGCCATTCCACGAATGAAGGTCGTAAAAGCGCTGGTCGATTCTCCTTCGATGGAATGTGAGGCTCTTTGTGTGGTCTTGTTTGGGTATCAAAGTTTACTGGAGCGAAATGTGGGTATGGGTCAAAATTAAGCCACCAGGGGACCGCATATTTTAGTCCATGTTTCCATTTACCAGGGCTCCATTTTGGCTACATATTTTTGACCCACAACCATGTAGATTCGGCAATCCTTCAGAGGGTCCTTTATTTTGGGCCATTGGGAGTTGACCTGATGTTGGAGTCGGCAGAATGAAACGCTCACCTGTCGCTGGTGTTTGGGAATTGCCTTCTGCATGTCCTGAGATGTGCGGATCCACTCTCTCTCCAAAGTCTGTATATCTGTATACACATGTCTGCGGAGCACCTACACATGATTTGTCTTGAAGCCGCATTTCAACAGGGGGCATGACGAGAACATTGCCACTACCTTCAAGGGCATTCTTCTCTTCACGCAAGTCCCTGGATTGAAGATGAGACCGGCCTGAAACGGAGTTTTTTGAGGCAATTGAACGTGGATGGAGCACTAATCTAGGGGTTGATTCCCCATTCTTTTCAACCATCGTTCTTTTCAAAATAACAGAAACGGCTGTTTCCCCTGGGTTTTGGATGGTTTCCTGAAAAGAAGGATCCCTGGAAAGAATGGAAATGGAAGGTACCCCTAGAACTATTGGCCATGCCTCCATTTCACCCATTTTGCTCAGGGTCCTTTCACGCTGGAGGTACCCTTCCGGGCCTCGGCAGACTTCGCCCAAGGCGTGGAGCCCGAGTGCGGGCGCCATGCGCGCCATGCGCGCCATGCGTCATGTCGTTTGTGTGCTGCCTGTTTGCCCGTCTGGTTGCTCATTTGTTTGCC